ACAGATACTTTTTTATCTTACAAAATAGTTTACTAAGATACTTCATTAGCTGCATGGCTTTCCATTGTGTAGATATATATTAATTGTCTTAACTTACTGTCATAATGTCAATTTTTAGCTATCATAATTAAAACAATATCTTCACAGTTAAATCTTTGTACATGATCACAATTAGTTTTGTAGGCCATATTACTAAAAGTAATATTTCTAGCTAAAGAAAAAGACAAACTGTGGAGGATTTAGATAAGCATTGCCAAATTAGCTTCCATAAATATTGTGCCATTTTTTACTTTCACCAGCAGTGCAAGAATCTACAGTATTAGATATCATTACTTTTATTTTGTAATATTCTATGGCATAGCAGTATTTGTTGGATATCATTATTTTAAAGTATAATATATGGAGCAATTTAATAACCGTTGATTGATTTGCAAGTAAGATTGAACCTTGTACTTAGAGGTTTATTTATTGATACACATCTTTCTTTAGTTAATGGCTTGTTTACATCTTTTTCTTCTTTGAGGCAGGCTGCTTATCTTTTTTTTATTAATTTATTAGAGATTTGTACATTAAAGATAGTAACTCAGCTGGGCATGGTGGCTCTTGCCTGTAATCCCAGCACATTGGGAGGCCAAGGCTGGAGGATTGCCCAGGAGTTTGAGACCAGCATGGGCAACATAGCAAGACCCTGTCTCTACCAAAAAGAAAAAAAGTTAGTCAGTCTTGTCGGTGTGCCCTGGGATCCCAGCCAGGTATTCGGGAGGCTGAGGGTTGGAGAATCGCTTGAGTCCAGGAGTTCAACGTTATGGGGAGTTATGATCACGCCACTGCATTCCAGCCTGGATGACAGAGCAACAACCTGTGTCGAAAAAAGAAAAAAGATAATAACTCTGTAGATAATGGCAGATCTTGAGAGAGAGAGAAATTAATGATTTATAGTGAAATGATAAAATTTTGCTAAGTCACGTATATTGTTATAGAGTCCTAAATAGGATATTAAGCTCACTCCTATAATTTTATGGTCTTCTATCACATGTGCACAGACCATGGATTTTTGTGCTTCTCTTCACAATATTTTGTACATTCTCATCCAAACCTTCATATGTTGTAGCTCAAAGATGACCATTTCCATGATTGTTTTTCTGCTGTTTAACACAGTCAGCTTCGTTCCTTTTTTGTAGATAGACCTGTGCTACAGATTAACTGTGGATTTGGGCCTATGGGCCAGCTCTGTTCTCAGTTTTTGGACTGTTATTTGGGGAAGAAGGAAACTTGGGGCCATGATAGTGGCCACTAGTGACTCTTTTTCTATCTCACTACAGATACAAATGATACAAATGTACATCTTTTCTGGTGTTCTCAGGAGAGTCGGATAGTAAGTAGCTTTCACGATACCCATTCAACAGGTTCCTTAGCAAAGGTGCTCTTTTGTTTTGGGCATTTAAAGACAACAAATGGTAATGGAGAAATGGGTAAAGGAAGAACTGACAGGCTTTATTGTTGAAAAAAATCACTACAGGTATACACACAGGTATGTGCAAGAGACGGTTGTGCTTGAGTGGTATGACCATGCACAGATGAAGTGAGGATCGAGTTAAAGAAAAAACATTTTTTGTGTTTCTGTAGGAAGACCATAATTCGAGATACAGTTGATAAGGTGCAGAATCTGGATGGAATAACAGGGTGATCAAAAGTTAGCTTCTGCTTTACACCAGAATATAGAGATTCCTATGCTATCTGACTTTATGAACGTTCTTAGGAATAGAGCATTTCAAATGATTTTTGAAAAGGTAAATTTAAAAAAACATTTTTTCAGCCAGAGAACTAAGTTCTAAAAACTGGCGTTAATTTCTGTCTATTTCAAGACCCAAATGGGTTAATAATGGAATATCACATGAAATGTACAGTCTTTCATGTCAATGTTCTTAATGATATAATGACTTATGACTTGATAAGAAAGCTGAAAAAGATTAATCCCATTCTGCAGTTATTATGATAAATGAAACTGTCCCCTGGAGAATATGCTTTTTTTTAAAAAAAACAGGGTCAGTGTTCAGCAGTCAGAAAATATTCCAATTTGTTTATAATTTTTCTTCATGTATGCAGCCAGCTCCTTATCCTGATCTTTCAAGTAGGAAAAATATGAGAATTGTAAGCCTTGGTAACATGTTATACAAATGTAAAACTCAGTAAACCGGAAAAGGCAACTGAAGATTCTAATCAGGAAGTAACAATTAAGAATCTTCCAGAGTTGAGGCAAGTAAGCATATTGAATGATGAGACTTAGATGTGTCTATAGAAAGACTATCCTTGTTTTCCATTTCTTTTCAAATGTAGCTCTTCCAGGCTTATAAGTACTGATTGACAGAATAATTTTTTTATTTCAGTTACCTCTAAATTTAAAGTCGAGAGGAACTGTGGTGTATATTGATGCTATTGATGCTGTTTTGTATTTTAAACATCAAAATTTACTGCACCTTTTATTTTTATAACAGATTTTATATTGAGGTAGTGCAGTTCATCCACACACAGTCATTATTAAGTACTCTTGAAATGTTTCAAGGGGCAGGGCACGTGGCTCTAGCCCATAAGCCCAATACTTTGGGAGGCCAAAGCCGCGAATTGCTAGAGCCCGGGAGTTTGAGACCAGCATGGCCAACATGGTGAAACCCCATCTCTAAAGAAACACAAAAATACACCCAGTTTGAAGACATGCATCTGTAGTCCCAGGATTGCCTGAGCCTGGGGACCTGGAGAGGTCACAGCTGTATTGAATGGTGATGACATCACCGCATTCCAGCCTTGGTGACAAAGTGAGACTATCTCAAAAACAAACAAACAAACAAACAAACTGTTTTGAGCCACATGCACCAAAATAAAAAGTGTATTGAATGTCCATGTTTATAGAGCAAAGCATGTATATAAAGATGCTTTTGTATCAAAGTATTTGATATATTTGATCGTCTTTTGAGCTATAATTGTTCTCTGGGAATATTTTAAATATAGTTTCTATAATGAGGCCTAAGGCTTTATTTGGACTTTGATCGTAAAATGTATATACTTTGCATAGTTAACATGACCATTACCCTGTACTTTTTCAGGTTCTTACTTTGAGTTCTTCATTATATAAGTTTTAATGTTTTTTTTAACCCATTAGCAAGTTTATTATAATTGATATGTTACTTGTCTTTAAAAACTATGAGGCTGTCCTTTGAGATAGCACAAAGATGTCCTACGGGTGCAGTGGCTCAAGCCTGTAATCCCAGCACTTTGGGAGGCCGAGGCGGGTGGATCACGAGGTCAAGAGATCAAGACCATCCTGGTCAACATGGTGAAACCCCGTCTCTACTAAAAATACAAAAAATTAGCTTGGCATGGTGGCACGTGCCTGTAATCCCAGCTACTCAGGAGGCTGAGGCAGGAGAATTGCCTGAACCCAGGAGGCGAAGGTTGCGGTGAGCCGAGATCGCGCCATTGCCCTCCAGCCTGGGTAACAAGAGCGAAACTCCGTCTCAAAAAAAAAAATGTTAACATTGAAGTGAGTTGGAAACCTCACTTTACATACCACATTACTATGAGTTTGAAGACTTATAGATAGCATATTGCCTATTTCTGATGTAAAAAATTCACTTACAGGTAGTGTACTCTCAAAATGTATTTTATGTAATTGAGACATCAGAGACTACATGTTTACATCCCAAATTCCTTGCCACACCTATTTTATAATTACTAGGTTGATTTTCGTTCTTATTAGGATGTTTCAAAAATCTGGTAGGATGCAGTCACCTACTTTATTCGTGTTATTGAACATTCTGTAAAAGCACAATCTGTTTAAAGTCTATATTCCTACATATCTGTGTGTTATTATGTTTCTTATTCTTCAATTATAATTTGATAAGGCAAGGTTGAATGACTAAGCAGATGCTGGAGAAATAGTTCAAAGGTGGGGAAAGAGCAGGAGAAGCAGGTTGTAGGACTAGATGTGCCATTCAGTTTTTACTTGAAGAGCCTGTGCCACATGTCCATTATGTGGTTAGAGCAAGAGTTTGTGCTTTAACAAGTGTCCTGGCCTTACCAATTTGGATGTGACCAGTATAGACATGGTGGAAATCGTGGCCATGGATGGGATTGCTGAGGAATAGCTAGAAGGCTGAGTGCTTCCTCTTCTGGATTGCAGCCTTTCTTAATGATAGACTGTCATCTTAATGTATTTTATCTAGTTATACATTAAACTTTCATTTCTTCCTCTGTTTTAAGGGTGGTGAATAAGAATTTATATATCCTAAATGTGTTTTATTTTAAAAGCCTTCTTTGTCTTCTGTACTTGGTGACTGTGAAGTTAAGTCTTGATATATAACTAATTAATTAAACAATATTGCTTGAATAATATTCACCAGCTATATTATGTATGATAAAATCTGGAAGAATTTTCTGTGATATTGTGTATCTCTGCTTTGTCTCACAGATGTTGAAGTTACAATTCTTTAAGGGCTATTTGAACCGAGATACCTTTTTTTCCTGATTTTGTATGATCAGGATTTGTTAATTTTTTTGTGAATAAACACCAGTAGTGAACATTAAATATATTGATGACTTCAGAATTCCTCAAAGAGAGGGAGATGAGTTATATTTATTTATCTTGACTCCTGTTGTTACTGTGATTCTCCTGTGGTTTAGAATATATAAATAGACCAAAAAATCCCAAACTTTAGAAGTATACTAGTCTTTAGTCCTTCTACTACATTTCTCCCAATCTTTCTCAAATCTGATTTACATTTGGTTTAATATTGAATAATTGCTACATAAAAATATTAACAGCTGTTTCCAGGAATCTTCTGGAGTGTGTACAGATGTACCGTTTTCCTGGATCTTGCTGTGAAATGTTGGTAGAAATATTTTGCCTTCTATGATTAAGGAACTGTTCATTAGCAGTCTTTAAAAATAACTTTGAGAAAGAAACATTCGAATATAATGTGCTGTGCAATTTTGTTCCCTATTAGAAAACAGAAGATGAGGATATTGTTCTCACACCTGATGGCACCAGGGAATTTCTGACATTTGAAGTCCCACTTAATGATTCAGGATCTGCCGGCCTTGGTGTCAGTGTCAAAGGTAACCGGTCAAAAGAGAACCACGCAGATTTGGGAATCTTTGTCAAGTCCATTATTAATGGAGGAGCAGCATCTAAAGTAAGTGTCAACTTTACCACACATATGCTTGTTAACAAAAATTTTAATTTCAACCCTGTTTCTATTTTGAAAACATGTACAGTTAACAGATGTTTTTTCATTTCTTCCTGGTACCCATATTCACAGTCAAACAACTAGGAGATATCTCAGTCATGTGTCATGTGGGGATGGAGTCCATAACTTCAGCCCTTCATTTTTTTCTCTCACAGAACATATAGCCCATAGACATGCTAGTTAAATGAAGGTAGTCTATGCAACGATTTGGCATGGATCCTGGCACAGCACTGGCCTATAGTAGATGTTAGTCTTTCCCCTCCCCTCCCTTGTTTGTGGGTCACTTATTCTATTTCTCAGCCTAGAGAAAATTTCCTGGCCATTTGTTAAGGAGACTCTTCTTTGCAACTGTCTAATAGCCTTGAGCTTTTACATGTCTTGAGTTGTAAATAACCTCTATGGGTGTTTCTGGAAGCAAGAAAGTAATCACTTTGTGTCCTTTGAATTAGTATGCTATTTTGGTAAACAGATTATGATAATGACTTGATTTACGAATGTATAAATGATTGAAATAGACACAGGCTACAAAGGCTGCTTAGATGTTATTATGCCAGTATTCAATTGGGCATAATCCACTAGGATTAGAGTTCTCAACTTTTTTGTTTTTTGCTTTGTTTTTATTTTGTTATTAACTAAAGGAAAAGCTATTTCTTTTATTGCAGTCTATTTAATAGCACTTATTTTTACCTGTTTTCTTCCCAGGATGGAAGGCTTCGGGTGAATGATCAACTGATAGCAGTAAATGGAGAATCCCTGTTGGGCAAGACAAACCAAGATGCCATGGAAACCCTAAGAAGGTCTATGTCTACTGAAGGCAATAAACGAGGAATGATCCAGCTTATTGTTGCGAGGAGAATAAGCAAGTGCAATGAGGTAAAAAAAAATGCAAAAAAGCACTAGCATCTGTAATAAAACTACATTTCTGTCCTAATTTTGGACAAAGGGTGTTAGGTTCCCGGACGTTACCACAAAAGACCATAAATTATCTTAGCTCGTTGTAGTTTTATTACTTTGTCAGTGGATTGTGGTTTGTGTTCTTAATTCTTGTGATCAACATATTCCTAAGTGGATATTAATACTCCTGTTGCCACCTTGGCAGAAAACACTGGGATTTCAAAAGCACCTTTAGCTCAGTTTTCTTCTTGAAATCAGGGTCACATCTTCCTTCTCAGAGCTAACATTTTCTCTTCTAGTTGGGAGGTGAATCATGCAGAGAAACAGTTGCTCATTCATTTGTTTATCTAAAATGGGATGCCTCTTACAAAGGTCCTAATAGGGATTCTTTCCCCTTTCCTTTTTTTTTTTTGGTTGAGACAGGATTTCACTGTGTTGACCACGCGTGAGTTCAGTGTTGTGGCCACAGCTCACTGCAGCCTCCATCTTCTGGGCTCAAGTGATCCTCCAGCCTCAGTCCGCCGAAGTCCTGGGATTACAGGCATGCGCCATAGCACCTGGCCCACAGTCTGGTTACTTAGATGATGGTGTTCTCTTGCACATTATCAATAGCATATACCTCCCTCTCTTTCTTCGGTCCCTATTTTCTCTTTCTCTGTGGGGTTGAGTCTGTTCTCTTTGAATGCCTCCTTTTTCAGTGATCTGTATTGCAATATACTCTGCTTATTTTGAATATACGTTGCAGTCTGGAATTAGGAGTGAGGAAAAAGACACAGGGCATCCTCTCTTGAAGGTTAGGATCATCTATTTTCCCAAATATGTAAAACATACTTTGTTGTAGAATAGAACATTTGAAAGTTAAAAATGAATTATATGTAGAGTTGATAACACTGGAGCTTGAAAAAAGCTAAATTTCATGGATCCATTATAAATTATGTGCCATCTGTAGAAAATAGGTCAGACTTGCCCATGTGCAAAAAAGAGCTGTTGAAAATGTGATGTTTTTCTTAAATCGATGTTCAGATTCCCACATTTTAAAATCAGCTAAGATAAAATGATTAGCAAATAATACAAACTGAAAATTATACCTAAATTGTTTGTTTTTCTTAATTTTAAAACTTCTGTCTAATAAACATATAAAGCAAAGTTTTCAGGTTGCCATGACCACTCCTCTGAACCTATGATACAAGCATATTTTAAAAAGTAAATATACTCTCGAGCTCGGTTGGTAGTCAATATAAAGGTGATGTATTCTGAAAGATCACTGACCACTGAATTATTTTGTTACTATTATTTGCCAAATGTGGAATGAGTTATCAGTGATTAACAAGTTAATTTCCATATCAAGAGAACAAGGTAACCTTAACAAAAAATCTCAGAATGGAAAAGAGTGGGACATAAAAGCATTCATTTATGTAAGATACATATAAAAACTAATCCCTCAGAGTAGGGTACTGGACTAATTTTTTTTTTCTCTCTTCCCTCTCTCCTGGACTGATTGAGTAATAGTTTTTATTCATTGCAAAAGCATTAGCTTGTATCTTTTAAGTCCCACAAAGCACAAAATGAAAACATCTCAACTGTAAGTTTATAAATATATCATTCTCTGTTAGGCCTTTTTTTTTGGCCACCTGAATACTTCCCCATTCCACAGGACAGTTTTCATTCCACAGATACTTATTGAGCATCTTATGTATATTAAAAAATGTGTCAGATCCTTGGGACATAGCAGTGAATAAGACAGATGAGATGCATTCTACTAGACAACATATCACCTTCATAGTATTTTTAGAGACCAACTAAAAATTTTAACAACCTCTCAACATTTTCCTTCACAGGAACCATTGAATGCTATAGGAGGACTTAAAAATGCAGAAATGAACTGAAGATCAGTGTTCTGCTTTTGTCTGATTCAGATTATTCCCAATGGCTCCCCCCAAACAGTGACAAAGTAAACCAGTACCAGCCTGAAAATGTTTTGATAAAAGCACTGATTTTATTTCCTCTTGTCCTGTAAGAGACATGAAATTGGAATCCCCCTGAAATATCTGTGTCTCGTTCACTTCTGCATATGAATATGTGTGAATGAATATGATTTAAGTAAGGAAACAGCTGCAGTAGACAGTAATAGACTTTAATATTCAGTATTCCTTATGGTATCATTTTCATACATTGCTGGTTATTGCTATTTTTTAGGACAGCATGAACTTATAAAGCAGTTATATCAAGAATATCTTATGAGTGCTGTGCTATCTTTGTAATACTAGCAAGAAGCCTTTCGTACTGATAGGGTTTAACTAAAGAATTGTATGAAGACAGAAGATCTCAATTTAGCTTCCCATAAAACATAAGACATGATTTTTCAGCTGTTGTACTTATGCATTACTTTTGGAAAACCACCTCCCTTGCACATTGGGAGGGTGTGTGTAAATCATGTTACAGTAAATATTGATGGAAGCTTAGGGCATCATGATGTCCTGAACAAATCTCAAGCCAAAATAATGTGCTGAGTTTTCTTTCTATGTCTTTTAGCCATATAGTCCAGTCTTTGCCAATCAGAAAACTGCATTTTGCAATTTCATCTTTAAACCCAAGATTTGCATATTTAATTTCAAGCTAGGAAAGATAAGAATGTATAAAAGAAAATCTTTTGTATTTTATCACATATTTCTTTCTCTTATACATGGAAGTGCTGTGTATTATCGTAATATGTTTTCTTTATTTTTTCATTTTTGTAGAGACAGGGTCTTGCTATGTTGTCCATGCTGGTCTCTGACTCCTGGTCTCAGCCTGCCAAAGTGATGAGATTTAAGGCATGAGCCACCTCACCTGGTCCAATATGTTTTCTTTAAATTTATTTGTCAGCTCCTTTCACTAGGTATTATTTTAAAGCCCTGTATTTTCCTAACATTAGTCCCAAGAGGGCACATTGGAGACCTTCTCTGGGAGTTCCTTCTTAGCCTAATTGCTTGGTCTTTCAGGAATCTGTGGGTACTATCTGATTCTCAAAGTGTCTTGTCTACGCTTCCTGTTTTTCTGCTGTCATACTTTGGGTCTTCTCTAAGGTTCCTCTTTTCTGCCTGTTCTTTCATTGTTCCTGTCTTTCAAGGTTCCTTCCGGTCTGTTTGTTTTTAACTCTGCTCATGCTCCCTAGCTGATGTTCACTCCCTAGCCATCTGAAACCACATGTTAGGATGAATCCCATCATCCTCTTTCCAGCTCACAACTCCACTATGGCGCCAGATCCCTCTGTCCACCTGCCCAGGGAAATATTTCCTCATATGTTTTATGGGCACCTAACTCACAAGGCACTACATTCTTTCTGTTGTAGAAGGCAGAGATCTGGGGTCACCCTTGACCTCTCAAATGCTGTCACTATGCCTCTCCCTGTTGTTTCTGCCTCGAGAATTTCTCTCTCTTCTTTTTTGGAGACTGAGTCTCATTCTCTCGCTCTGCCGCCTAGGCTAGAGTTCAGTGGTGCAGTCTTGGCTCACTGCAGCCTTGACTTCCCAAATTCAAGCGATCCTGCCACCTGTCTCCCTAGTAGCTGGCACCACAGGCATGCACCATCACACCCAGCTAATTTTTTCTTTAAAGATGGTAATCTTTCAGCCTTGGCCTCCCAGAGTGCTGGGATTATGCCTGTGAGCCACTGTGCCTGGCATAGAATCTCTCTTCGCTCAGCCTGTTCCCCTTTCTTCCTTCTGCCACTGCCTGACTTCAGACCTCATCCTCTCACCAGGCTCACTGCTGCAGATCCCTAAGGGGTTTCTCTGCTTTCTCCCTCAATCCATTCTCCCCAATGCAGTCAGACAATTTTTTTTTTGTTTTGAGATGGAGTTTCACTCTGTCTTCCAGGCTGGAGTGCAATGGTGCGATCTCTTCTCACTACAACCTTTGCCTCCCAGATTCAAGTGATTCTCCTGCCTCAGCCTCCTGAGTATCTGGGATTACAAGCATGTGCCACCACATGTGGCTAATTTTGTATTTTTAGTAGAGATGGGGTTTCTCCATGTTGGTCAGCCTGGTCTCGAACTCCTGACCTCAGATGATCCACCCACCTTGGCCTCCCAAAGTGGGATTACAGGTGTGAGCCACAGTGCCTGGCCGCAGTCAGGCAGATTTTTCTGCAAAACACATTGATCATGTCAGTCCCTGCTGAAATACTTCAGGAGCTTTCCATGGCTCCAGGATGAACGAGTCTCCATCATGGGGCCAAATGGGACATACCTGATTGTCGTCGGTGCCCTACAGCTCTGCAGCATTTCTGCTCCAGCTACTCGGTGTTTCTGGTAATTTCTCAAACGTGAATGCTCTTTCACATCTCTAGGTCATTCACTTGAGTCCATCTGCCCCTCATCCTAGCAAACACTTACACAGTCTTTCATTTTCCATTTATCTCTTCCAAAGTATTTTCATCACCCTGTGCACTCACCTCCACCCAGCAGCTGTCACACTGTCATGGTTTCCTCTTTGATTTTCTTTTGCTGGAATTGTAAATTCTGAGACTGCCAGAACTTGGTCCATCTACCACATTTTTTTTTTGAAAGAAAGAGAAAGAGAAAGGGAGAGAGAGAATAGGAGTCTTGTTCTATTGCTCAGGCTGGAATGCAATCTAAAACTAGGTACTAAAAACCTCTTTTATGCTGATAATTGTGCTTAACAGTGAAGACAGGAAGGAATAAGGGAAGAAAATAACAAATAAACAGCCAACCAATATTTCATTTAAGTCTGTGAAATGCTATGCAAATGCTGAAGAGTGACTTGCTTCCAATTATGTGGTCACTTTCAAAATAGGAGTAATGTGATACTGAGAAAAATGTATGTTTCGTAGACCTGGGGTGAAGAATTCTATAAATATTCGCTGAGTTTACTTGTTCCAGGTCTGAGTTCAAATCATAGATGCTCCTGTTAATTTTCTATCTCATTGATCCATTGAATATTAACAATGTGGTGTCAAAGTCTGCTATTATTGTGCG